ACCCATTTCGGCACACCCCTCACAAGGATCGTGGCCCCATCGGGAGCTCCATCGAAAGTCCCTGCGGCCGCCCTCGCGCGCGCCTCCCCCGCCCATGTCGGCACGCCCTTTATACGCTGAGTGGCCCCATTAAGGAACTCCACAGACGGTCGCAGCGGCCGTCATCGCATGCGTCTCCCACACAGCCCGCATGCGGTACCCGCACCATGTTCGCACACCCTTCACGCGGTTCGCACGTCTCACGCGGCTCGCCTGTAGGGAATTCCCCCTCGATCGTCCTGCCGACCGTGCGCTACACACAACTGCACATGGTTGGATCCTTCGCCAGGGTAGTTTGGTGGATGTCGCGGGCGGCGAGACAACCAACATCACTGCTGTGTTTAAGGTGTTGGGCCCATTTGGGGGGTCGGGACCCCGCCCGTTGTGATCGATAGCCTCCAAGATGGCCCCAAAAGGGCCCCCCCAGGGCTCCCAAGGGACTCCCAAGAAGGCTCCGAGAGGGTCCCAAGACCCTCCCAGACAAAAACCCAGGACCCCAATATTCCCCAAAAGAGACCCAAGATGGCTCCAAGAGGGCCTCGAATGCTCCAAGATGCCTTCCAGCATAGCTCAAGACAGCCGACGAACGATGGTTCAAGATAGCTTCCAGCATACCTCCAAAAGGCCCGGCGACGAGGGCCACAAGAGGGCGCCAAGTGCTCTCTGAGCCCGAGCATCACTGATTGTTGACGTCTCGCCTTTTCGCTTCCGGTGCGCTTTCGAAGCCTCCAAATGGCCCCAGAGTGCCCAAAAGCGAGCCGAGAGCGCCCCAAGAGGGCCCCAACAGTAGATGTTGATGGCCCGAGGTGGGGGGGGGGGGCACCACGACCCCCTCTCGTTTCACCGACGCCCTCCACGATAGCCTCACGAGGCCCTCCAGGGATCCCAAAGGGCCCCCAAAAGAGCCCCACGACAGACCCAAGAGGGCCCCATGACACCCCAAAAGCACCCCAAAAGTACCCCAACATCCCCCCAACACAGCCCCGAGAGGGCTCCAAGCGGCGATTTTGAGGGCTCTGTCCTCGTCATCGTTGTCCTCGTTGTCCTCGTTGTCCTCCTCCTTTTCCTCCTCCTCCTCCTCCTCCTTCTCCTCCTCCTTCTACTGCTCCTCCTCCTCCTCCTCCTCCTCCTCCTCCTCCTCGTCCTCGTCATTGCCATCATCGTTTTCCGTTCCCCGTTCCTCCTCTTCCTCGTCGTCGCGGTCTTCGTCGTCGTCGTTTTCCCCCTCCCCCTCGTCCTTTTTCGTCTCCTTCCACTCCTTCTTCTCCTCTTCCTTCTCCGGGTCGTCTGGTCCTAAAAAAAGGGCAGACTGCTCCGCAATCCTACCTCTTCCCTGACGAGGGATCAAGCCTCAGGCTTAAGCCCAGGGCGGGCCCACACCAAAGGTCACCCCGGCGAAAGGTCACTCCTACGCGCAATTGATCCGACCCTACATAATTACCTGGCAGGCCTAGAGACGACCTCTTGCGACGATAGGGGCGAATAGCCCAGAGGGGGGGGGGGGGCAATACGTGTATCCAGGGGCGCCGATGGTCCATGTCTACGGCATGGCTCCCGGAGGGATGCGAGTGTATTGCTCCCCCCTGCGCTCTTCGCTCCCGTCGCCGTTGCCGAATCTCGTCTGTTTCGGGATCCATCAAAGGGAGGGGGGACCTTGAGGGGGGGCATGAGTTCGATCCGTTGGTGCACCGACTTGCCGCAAACAAATGACCCCGCAGCGGCCCGCATGCACCACCTGTCGGCAACTGTGGGGAGCTGCCTGCGGCTGGGAGGCATCTGCTGTGGGCGGTTCGGTGCAAAAAACGATCGAACTCACAAACACCCACAAACACACACACACACACACACGGGGCACACCCCCTCTTTGCTAGAGGAACGAAATATGACATAAACATGAAAATTCGGAGGTCCGCGCGGATTTCTTGGATCCGCGCTGGACCCCCCTCCCTGGCGCGTGGAGCGCGCCAGGAGCGGCGGCGGAGGCGCCGCCAGGGGGCCCCAGCGCCGATCCGAGAAGCCCGCGCGGACCTCCGTATTTTTATGTTTATGTCACTGTTCGTTCCCCCATTTGCGGGATTCCGTCTGGCGGGGTGAGCCTCCGCCAGAGGCCGCGCCGGAGCTGCGCGGCCCGGCGACATCGACAGCAAAGTCGGGAGAAGTCGAATCGGCAGAAATCGGCAGGCTAGTAGGCCTCCATTGAGAAATCGGCATCCAAATCGGAAGCCAAAGCCGTATCGGATCGGAACCAGAAGCCATCGACATCGAATCGAATCGCACCTGAGGCATCGAAACGAGCGAATCTCGTTGGGCGGGGGTGCGCCTCCGCCAGAGGAGGAGGAGGTGGAGGAGGGGGAGGAGGAGGAGGAGGAGGAGGAGGAGGAGGAGGAGGAGGAGGAAGAGGAGAGGAGGAGGTGGAGGAAGAGGAGGAGGAGGAGGTGGAGGAAGAGGCAGGGTTGCGCCTCCGCCAGAGGTCGCGCCGGCGCCGCGCGGCCCGGCCGCAGCGGCGGCCGGGACGCCCGCGGCCGCGGCGGGCGGCCTCGGCTGCGGCGGCGGCGGCTCCGCCGCCGCCGCCTCGGGCGCGGCCGCGGGCGGCCGAGCGTCGGCGGGCCGCACGTCGGCGGGCCGACCGTCGGCGGGCCGCGCGCCTGGCGCCTCGGGCCTCGACACCTGATGGGGATGGACAGAACCCCCTCCTCCTCCTCCTCCTCCCTCCTCCTCCTCCTCTCTTCCTCCTCCTCCTCCTCCTCCTCCTCGTCCTCCTCCTCCTCCTCGTCCTCCTCCTCCTCCTCCTCCTCCTCCTTCTCCCCCTCTCCTCCTCCTCCTTCTCCTCCTCCCCTCCTCATCCTCCTCCTCCTCCTCCTCCTCCTCCCTCTTCCTCCTCCTCCTCCTCCTCCTCCTCCTCCTCCTCCTCCTCCTCCTCCTCCTCCTCCTCCTCCTCCTCCTCCTCCTCCTCCTCCTCCTCCCCCTCCTCCTCGGGATGGACAGAACCCTCTCCTCCTCCTCCTCCTCTCCTCCTCCTCCTCCCTCCTCCTCCTCCTCCTCCTCCTCCCTCCTCCTCCTCCTCCTCCTCACCTCCTCCTCCTCCTCCTCCTCCTCCTCCTCCTCCTCCTCCTCCTCCTCCTCTGGTTCCTCCTCCATTCTCCTCCTCCTCCTCCTCTTGGGGTATATGACGGCTTCCCCGGCCCTCTGTTCCTCTGCATGCGTCCCCACTTCCCTCGTCAAGGCAACTCGTCTCTGGGCATCGTTGCTGGATGGGCTGGTGGGTTACGCGAAGCGATAACAATATTCATACTTCCATCGGGGATGGACAAAACCCCCTTTAGCAAAACGTGGTTTCGTGAAAACGACCTCGGGCCCAAACATGGCGGGCGCAGGCCTGAAAAATGTCGGCCGCGGCGCCCTTGAGAGGACCGAAAACGGACAATTCACAAATCGACGTGTCGGGGTGAGGGTTCTGTCGACCCCCGAGAGGCGATGAATCGAATAGGGGATCGACTACAACATTGCTTTGCCCCAATCTTGACTGTTCCGTCGAAATCAGCAGAAAATCCGTATAATGTGTTGCGGATCTACGGAGTGTGATGCGCATTTTCGTGGGTCCAGCAGAACAATCAATCCTGAGGTAAATCAATTCTGAAGTCGATCCCCTACTCGAACAAATTGGGGGGGCGAGGGCTGTCGAAAAGAGGCTCTCTGGGGCCCCATCATTAAAAGGCCCCTTCGAGCCCAGAAGGGGGCCTTTTCAGGGCCCGAAAAGAACACCTTCCTCCCGCCCCCCCGAATCGCCCACCCATTCTTTTGCGCCCAAGCGCCTTCGCCGCGGGGGGCTCCGGCGAGGCCGAAGGCGTGGACGCGAGTTTCCTTCCGCCGCGCGAGCTGCGAGTCGCCGCCGCCGCTGCCGCAGGCGGAGGCACCGGTGGGAGGATGGAGGACCCAAACGCCCTCGGGTCATGAAAAAAATTGTGGCGCCCAGGGTTCTTGGCCGTTTGCGGCCGTCGGCCTCGGGGCCGACGCCTGAAAATGAAAGGCGGGTCCGTCGGAAATGGTTTAGACCTCCTAGGGTCCACGTTGTGAACAAATCACGACGTCGGGGGTCTGGGGAGGAGGGCGGAGGCGGAAATGGGGGAGGCGGAGCAGGAGGAATAGGAGGAGGAGAAGGGAGAAAAAGGAGAAAAAAGAGAGGAATCATATCCCCGCCCAGCGTCTCCTTTCCAGGCCAGCCTCTCGACACTGTCTGTTCGCAGGCATTGTCCAGCCTTGGTGCACCAGCGTCTGCCCGCGCCCGTCCGACAGGAGCGCTCAGCGAAAGACAGTCAAGCGACCTCTTCAGCAAACAAGAACTGACACAACTTAACAGGCCCAAGGGTGGGTGGGCAGGGTTGAGCCCAAAAACCAATGGAACGATTGCATCGACGGCCTGGATCTGGCGCCAGAGGGGAAAGATCAGATATCCCCGCCCAGCGTCTCCTTCCAGGCCAGCCTCTCGACAGTGTCTGTTCGCAGGCATTGCCTGGCCTTGGTGCACAAGCATCTGCCCGCGCCCGAAAGTTGCGCGGGGCCAAAGACAATCAAGCGACCTCGAACTATATGATCCAGAATGTTGTCCTGGCCGTCAGGCCGACACTTGCATCAAGGCACGGTGCGCGGATGACATCCTCGCAGCACGGTGCGCTCTCGCCAGCACGCTAGACAGTATAGAAGGATACGGCTCAGCGATCTTGGTCCAAAAGGCGCCCGATGGCGTCTTGCCCTCGAACGTGTTGAACAGCAAGAGCCCAAGAGCGAAACGGAACAAACGCCGCGGCCAGTGCACTTGCATCGGCCTGGGGCGTCAAGGTTCAGGTGCACACGCATCGAGAGGGTCCGCCTCCTCCAGGCACTGCCAAGGCGCAAAAAACAACATTGGCAACATTCGCATAACTCTGTCGGCTAGCGCGCTGCGCCCAAGGACTTTGCCACACTCACGAAGTAGCAGGGTTCTCGATGGCAGCCGGGGCCCCGCGAAGGGCGCGCTCTAAGAAAAAGCTGAAAGAGAACTGCGCCAGACGATGTCCCAGCATCGCCTTCAGCGAGCCAGTGGACGAGAGACAAGGAAGGCCGAGGAGGCGATTTCGATCCCGAAGCGAAGGGGGCCCGCCAGGCCAGCTCCGCGCCGTCGACCACGAGCTGCACGGCATGCCGAGCCACGCTCCCCGAAGCAGCCCACCGCGAAGCCAGCCGCGCACAACGCGCTGAACGCCCCGCCGGGAGAGATCACCCAAGGCGGGCTCGCGCTCGACGCCCAGCTCGAAGACTCGCGGCAACAAGCAAGAGGCCAGGCCCCGTCGCAGCGCGCGCGACCAGTTCCCAGAACCGCTGAAGACCTCCAGGTACACACCTTTGAGTCTGCAGCATGGACCCAGGAGCTCAGGTTTTACACTGGGTGCTCCCAATAGTCACGGCGCAAAGAGAGCCTGACCTTTCTGGTCTGGTCGCAGTCGCTGAAATTGTTCCTGGACGCGGCCTCCTGTGGCGTGCCTCTGGAGACTTCGATCGGCCTCCCAAAATCCCCAGTTGTTGATGTCGCCGAACTCTCCGACGTTGGTCAGCATCTCGTGACGGGCCCCCTCCGCGGCGCAACTGGCGCAGCACCGGCGGGCCGATGGGGCTCCAGCTCCAGGGCGACGGGCGCCTGCTGAAAGGCCATGGGCCCCGACGGCATGCCCGGGGCCAGCAGGGGCCCCTCGGCGTCGCGCCCGTCCACCAGGCGGCCCAGCACCCGCTCCATCCAGACGGACTCGGGGCTGTCCAGCAGCAGGCTGCCGTCGCAGTCTTCGGACCTCGCCTCGTGCTCGGACAGTAACCAGAGGATGGGGCACTTGCGCAGGCGACGCGGGCCGCGCCGCACGGGCCGCGCAGGTGGGCCCACGCGCGGCGGCGGCAGCTCCGACGGCCTCCGGCAGAGGATGAATGTCAGCGCGACAGCCTCCGCCGCCGCCACGTGCCCGCTCGACGCCACCCAGCTCGCCGCCCATGCCGCCGCTGGCCAGGGCAGGGGCAGGCGCGCCTAGGGGGGCGCCAGGACCTGCCAGCCCGTCAGCGCCCGCTGCACCCGCGGCAAAATGACTCGCTTGGTCAGCGGGCCCAGTCGGAAGTGGGCCACCGCTGAGATCAGCTTCGCCCTGTCTGGCGAGTCGTGGCCGTCGAAGTACAGCTCGTTGAAGTGCACCAAGAGCGTCTCCTCCAACTCCGGGATGGCGGTCACCGGGGGTCTCGCAGTCGCTTCCCAAGTCAGGAAAGCGCGGCGTCGGACCTGAAGTCCAGCGCCGTCTTGTCCCGCGGCGCCCTCTTCTCCTGGAAGGGCCGCTGGCCAGTCGCCCCAAGATCAGACGCTGGTGCCATAATGGCTCGCCTTCGTAGCGGACCCACGCCCACTGTCGCATCTCTGGAAGAGCTGCTTCTGGTGGGGTCAGGTTCGCAGCGGCCATCATGGCGGCGAAAGCAGGTCAACCTGCCTGCGCTCCAAGAGCCGTAGAGATGCCAAGGTATGAAACCGATGAGCAGCAATTCGTTGGCGAGAACAGTCAACTATCAAGAACGACGAAGGACCAGCCACACTCTCCGCCTCGACGCTTCCAGGCACAGGGTTGCCTGGAGCCGGCGATCCGCCAGGGCACGCTGGACAGCCAGGACAGGGTGGGCACGCTGCGCAGCCAGGGAAACGCGGGCACGCAGGAATGGTTATGGAAGGACAGCGCTGGAAATTCCCTCCCCAACGATAGGCGAGGGCCCCTTCCCAGTCGTACTGGGCAGCGGGCCAAAAGGAAATCCATGCACACTGCCTTGGAGCAAATTCTTGAGCCCGAAAACCAACGGAAGCGAATGCATCGACAGCCTGGATTCTGACGCCAGAGGGGAAACACATGCACGCACCAGATAAGAGAAGAAGAGGGAGGGCCAGGGAGCGAGGAGGATAACTCCACATGGATCGACGGCTGGAAAATCCAGGACGGGGCCGGCGTCGGCATAGTGCGGCTTCCATGCTGGCATTGAGGCGATCGACCGTCGGCTGCTCAGCTGGGATGCCACTTGCTTCCCGCCCTTCTGCCAGAAAGCAGACATGTTTTTTTCTGCTCCGCCGACGCCGCGCTGGCTCAGCCGCGTGCCCGCGATGCTCGGGATCCCGGATGCAACTGCCGATTTCCACGTCGCGCTTGTGCCACGCCGCGCCCGCCAGAAGCACAAATCCACTCACACGGGCACACATACTCACAAACAAACCTCCCTCAAACTGCAAGGTTGCAAGGTGAAACCACTGTAGCAAACGGGTGTGTGGGGGGGGCACAAACGACTTGCCGTCAATCGGACGTCCATTCCTCGCGCATGGCTCGCTTTCGTGCGCGCACCTGTTCGCAAGATGCTCCAGGATGCTCCTCGGTGGTTCTCACCGGGAACAAACGCACACCTCCCAGCGATGCCAAGCTACACTGACACGCACACACACACACACTAAAAAAAAAAACACGGTCCTCCAGCGCCCTCGAATCCTCGTTGCCTCGATGCTTGAATCCTCGAGACCTCGATCCTCGGAACCTCGATCCTCGATTCTCCCCCCCTCCCGCCCCACCCCATGCTCGTTGCCTCGATGCTTGAATCCTCGAGACCTCGATCCTCGGAACCTCGATCCTCGATTCTCCCCCCCTCCCGCCCCACCCCTCCCGCCCGGAGGAGGGAGGAGGGAGGGAGGGAGGGAGGGAGGGAGGGAGGGAGGGAGGGAGGGGGGGGGGAGGGAGGGAGGGGAGGGGGGGAGGGGGGGAGGGGGGGGAGAAGCAGCAGGCACACCCCGCTCCCTCTGCGCCCCCTGTGCAGACAGGTTCCCAGTGCTGGCGCGCCTTCCCCCTCCCCCCTCCCCCTCCCTCCTCCCTCCTCCTCCTCCTCCTCCCTCCTCCCTCCTCCTCCTCCTCCTCCTCCCTCCTCCCTCCTTCCTCTCCTCACTCCTCCCTCCTACCCCTCCTCCTCACTCCTCCCTCTTCCCTCCTCCCCCTCCTCCTCAGTACAGTGGGGGCCCGACCACGAGGCGCCTCCCAGGAGAAACCAAACCCTGAGACCCCAGGACGTCCATGGACGTTTCGTGTGGGAACGTCACGCGTTCCACAGCAAAAACCATCGAAGCCCAAGGAAACCCCTCCCAGGAGAAACCAAACCCTGAGACCCCAGGACGTCCATGGACTTTTCGTGTGGGAACGTCACGCGTCCCACAACAAAAAAACCATCGAAGCCCAAGAAAACCAGGGCACCCTGGAGGCAAGAAAGGGTGTTTCCTGGCATGGGCCCCCGCTGGGGCAGGACGGGGGGATGGATGCCATGATCGGATTGGCTCGGGATGCGTTTCCGGATCTCGAGAGCACCTGGCGGCCCTCGCTCCTGCAGCCCCCCGCGGCACATAAAAGGGAACATCTGGGAAATCCTGCAAAGCTTGGGGCGCCTCACTATCACGACCTCCCGCGCAACCGAAGTAGACCCACGTACCCCAAGGGCCAGTTCTCCGCGCGAGCCGGAGCCAGACCACGCGGGGCAGAAAGGTTGGCCCGAACCTCGAAAGACGACCCCAAATTCACAGCAGAAGCCCACGCACCACTCACCAACAAACAACGCTTGAAAATAACTCCTCACGCGCCTCCTCTAACAACTCCTCATCCTCCTCACTCGCTTGCCTGACGCTTCGTCATAACTCCTCCCCCAACTCTTCTCCTCCTCCCAGTCGGGGGTACAGAACAGGCGCACCAAGGGACGCAGAGCGAGCAGGCGCGGACGGTCCTCTTCTTGGACTCGCCGGGGAATTCGAAGTCCACCCGGGCCAGCTGAGGGCCCGTCTCCACCACCTTGCTCCTGATGCGCGTGAGCATGCGCATCTCCGACACCAGGCGAAGCGTCTTTTCGGGGATGCAGGCGCACCATGCCTCATACATCGGGAAGAGGTGGACGACGTCCTGCGCACAGTATTTCTGCAGGACCTGAGTCATGGGCCTCTTCTTGAATATCTCCAGGCTCCCACCCCGCTCTGGCGCGAAGAGGGCCTGTCCGGCCTCCTTGATGCCTTTCATGATCTGCCGCTGGGAATATGGCAGAACCTTCCCGGCAGCTTTCGCAAACCCTTGCAAAAATCCGCTAGGCATGCCAAGCCATCACAGGCATGTTTTTTGAATGCTTCCACGCACCGTAATCCCAGTACGAGCGATTGCCAACTGCCAGAGTCTGGACAAGCCAACCACAGGCACAATGTGTTCCCTTTGTTGTTTGCGTGTGTGTGTGTTTGTGTGTGTGCGTGCTCCTTCTGTCTGTGGACGAGGGGCCACGCCTGTAATCCTAGGGAACAGTATGAGTGTGCATACGCGTATGTTCGTGTCTATAGGTTTTGCTGTGTCCCCTCTCTCTGTCCCTATCTCCCTCTCTCCTTGTCTCTCACTCTCTCTCTCTCTCTCTCGTTCTCTCTCTCTCTCTGCCACTATCGTTCTCTCTCTCTCTCTCTCTCTCTCTCCCTGCATACGTTATAGATTTCTATATGCATGTGTACCGCTCCATACCGCTGTCTCCCTGTCCCTCTACCTACCTCCGTCGACACACCTACATACATACATACATACATACATACATACATACATACATACATCAATCCATCCATCCATCCATACATACATACATACATACATACATACATGCATGCATGCATGCATGCATACATACATACATACATACATACATACATATATACATACATGCATGCATGCATGCATGCATGCATGCATGCATGCATGCATACATACATACATACATACATACATACATCCACACACATACATACATACATACATACATACATACATACATACATACATACATACATACATACATACATCCATACATTCATTCATTCATTCATTCATTCATTCATTCATACATACATACATACATACATACATACATACATACATACATACATACATACATATATATACACATATATGTATATTCCTCTTCCTTTATTTTTATAAGCCCGGGCGGGGGGAAAACCCGTCCCCCGCCCCGCCCCCCCCCCCAAAACCGGACTCCCGGGATCTGGGGCTTTGGGACCCTCCGGACGGGCCTCGAAGCGGCCACCGGGCCTCGCAGGGCGTTTTGCCAAGCCTTCCCAGCACAATTAGGGTGATCAGGGGGGTCATCGGAGACGTCCCAGAGACCCCCAAGACAGCACAAGAGCGCTCCAAGAGTGACCGACGTGGCCTCAAGATGGCCCAAGAGGTCTTTAGGATGGCCCCAAGGAGGCCTCCAAGAGCACTCCCAAGACGGCCCCCCGAGGCAAAAATCATTGATTTTCTATTGGTTTTTGGTGAATTTTGGAGTTCTCCTCTTTTCGGCTTCCCGACGCTCCAAGACGGCGGTCTTCTGGGCGTCCGAAGCCACCTGGGATGCTCCAAAATCGCCCCACAACCATCCGAAAGGGCTTCCAAGCAGTCCAAGAGAGCCCCAAAACGGCACAACACGGGTCCAAGGTGGCCCTCAGAGAGCCCCATGGCGGCCCAAGATGGCCCAAAGACACCCTCCGAAGAATTCCAAGTCGTGATTCGGTCGTTCAGGGAGACCGCGGTTGAGGCAGGGTGGCGCGAGGAAGCCCCTGGAGGCCCCCAGAATACGTCCAGGAGGCCTCTAGAAGGCCTTAAGAAAGCCTGACACAACTTTTGTGAGGCCCCTAGAGGCTCTCCAAGGAGGAGCCTCCGCAAAAAAGAGCTGAGGAGGATGGGGAGAATGCTCATGGTATGGCGGCAATAAAGAAAAAGAAGCATGGAGGAAGGATACCGAAAAACATTATTACAGCGGCGATGCCGGAAAAGGCAACCAGGAAATATCGCTAAATTGTCGGCTTGACCTTCCTGCTATTCCGCCTGCATACCAAACTTCAAGGACCAAGGTGCATTGCGCGAAGCGCCACTGCAGTCTTGTGTATATATATATACATGTAAGCCTACCTTGGTGCTTCTTCCCATCTTACGATGTCGATTACCGCCCACCCCTCCCATACAGCAAGTGCAGTTTCCTGTTCCACAGGACGGGAGACGACATCCCCCCACACCGCACCAGACACAGAAGCCCCTCGACCCGACATGCGATCCCCCTCGGCACACCTCGGACTGGGCTGGCCAATTTCTAGCTGCACGTCCCTCCTGATAGCCACGCCTGCCGAAACGCCTGGTGCGCATGCGAGGCCCTTACTTTGAATAAGCCTTCTCCCGAGCTCGTCTGGTCGAGCCTGCCAGCGGCGAGGATACGCTCAGGCCCCACAAAAGCACACACAGTAACAAGCCTCCTCCTCCTCCTCCTCGTCCTCGTCCTCCTCCTCCTCCTCCTCCTCCTCCTCGGCTGTACTTCTGGCAACATTTGGCGGCCGTGGTGCCAGCTGCAGCCGCGGCCCGTCCCGTCATCATCTTCCTCCTGCTCTTCGCCTTCGTTCTTACATATCCGCCCCGACCGCCCGTCCTCCCTCATCCCCTCAAACTCTCCTCCCCTCTCCTGCATCTCCTCTTCCTGCGCCACCCCATTCACCTCTCACTCCTCTTTCTCCTCCTCCTCCTCCTCCTCCTCCTCCGCCTCCACCTCCTAACTCCTAACTCCTAACTCCTAACTCCTAACTCCTCCTCCTCCTCCTCCTCCTCCTCCTCCTCCTCCTCCTCCTCCCCCTCCTCCCCCTCCTCCTGACCCCTCCTGCTCAACCACTTCCTCAAGTCCTCTCCTCCTCTCCTCCTCCACTCCCTTTCTCCATCCTCCCTTCCCCGGAACCCTCCTCTTCCCTCTCCCCAACATCCATCTCATGGCCCCTTTCAAGCCCCTCTTCCTCTCCCAGGTCCCCCCTCGTATCATCGCCGTCATCCTGCTCATCCGATGTGTCGCATCCCTTCTCATCCTCCGCATGCTCCACCTCATCCTCCACGGCCACCCCCTCCTCCCTCCTCCATCCTATCCTCCCCTTCATCCTTGCATCACCTCCTCGCTCCTCCGTCTGGGATCAACGATCTAATGGCATTGGATCCGAAACCGGAGATGCCCACCCCCACCCCAGATGCGGCGGTTGAAAAAGAAACACTATCCTTCTCCATCTCCTCCAGATGCTGAACCCGGCCCCCTTCCTCCTTGCGGCGGCACCCGCCGCGGCCTGCGGGGCTTCTCAACGCCTTATTCAGGTCGCTGGCGTTCCTGTTCATGGAGTTGCCGTGGTTGGATTTGCCGTCCCCTCGAGGTGCTGCGTCGAGCGTGGCGGGTGTGGCCTCGGGTCAGGGTGGGTGAGCCGTGGGTCGTGGGAGTCGGAGGGCCGCCGTCGTTGTTGGAAGGGAGGGGGGGCGTCGCGGAGGGAGGAACTCCTCAGAGGAGGATGGGCCCGTGCCACGGGTCCAGCCTGTCGTGCGGCGTCGGGGAGGGGAGCTGGCCATCGCTCGGACGTCCATTCCTCGTGTATTTTTCGGTTGCTTTTTCGCCAAATGATCAAGGATGCTCCTCGATGGTCCTGGCCGAGAAAAAAATGCAAACGTCCGAGCGATGCCGAGGCCACGGGTCCAGCCTGTCGTGCGGCATCGGGGAGGGAAGGGGGGGGGGCGCACGACCCCGGCGGCCGTAGCGGCGGCAACTGGCTCTCGGGTCATGTTCCCGGTGCGTAACCTTAAGTCGGGCGTGTCTCCCTACAGGGGAATTTTCGACAAAAAAACAAACATATGCCCAAATGGTCAAAAAATACTCAAACAATAGTCCCCAGACTATTTGTTTGACTATTTTTGAATAGTCCCCCTGTAGAGGGACAGGCCCGACTTAAGCGTAACCCTTCTGCAGCTATAGTGGTGGCTGCGGCCATCGTTGGGAGCCGCCTATGTGGCGTCGGCAGTCGGCCGCATTGGGGTTGGAAGGGCGTCGTGGGGTGGGGGTGGGACGTCGTCGTCAGTGGCGTCTGCGAGTGGGGGCGTCGACTTCAGGTGGCGTTGGCGTCGGCGTCTCGGGCAGGGCCGTGGGCGCAGGGAGGGTCAGCAATCGGGGCATACAGCTCCTGGAGTGCCGCCTCGATGTCGCGCATCTACTGAAGGTCTTGCTGCCGGGTCGAACTGGCCCGTCGGAAGCCGTCGTGCAGCTGCTGGGTCTGGGCGTCGATGGCGCCCGTGCCGGCGTAGTCGGGTGGGTGCTGGCGGCGGTGCTGGTGGTGGCGAGGGCGTAGCCCGTCCAGCTGGCCTCGAAGTCTCAGCGGGTGAATGCCATCCACTTAGGAGCGTCGGGTAGTGGGTCCGTGGGACGGGGGCGTAGTGGTGGGGTGACGCGTTGTCGTGGGAGAGGGACTCGGGTCGTCGTTGGGGTCGTCGTGTCTGGCAGCGTCGAGGGGAGAGGCTTCGGGTCGCCCGTCGGTCGGGCAGTCCCGTCTGAGAGTTTGTCGAGGGGGCCGTCGTGGGAGCCGTCGAGGTCGTCGCGGTCGCGCTCGTCGTTGGGAGGCTGTCTTGGGGGCGGGGTGGGGCAGGGTTAACGTCCGCGTCCTCGTCTCTCCTGGAATCGCGTTGTTCGCGTTGGCGGTTGTCGTGAAGAGGGCGCCAGCTTCGTCGTCGTCGTCGTCGTCGTCCTCGTCGTCGTCGAGTTGATCCTCGTCGTCGTCGTCGCAGTCGGCGTCGTCGTCTTCCAGTCTGGTCGGCGGCGTAGTGGGCCGTCGGGTCGGCCGCAGGGTTGGCCGTCGGTCCAGGCGACGGTCTGGGCGTCGTGCAGGCTGTCGGGTTGGCCAGTGGGTCAGCCGCCGCCGGGACGTGTCTGGTCAGAGGCTCGGTGGTCGAGGTTGGCATCTACCTGTCCGTGCGGGTACTGCTAGCCGCGTGACCGAGGCAGTCACAATGGGTCGAGCGTGGGGTGGGCGTCGGTCGGGGGCGCCGTGGTGAGGGGGCGAGTCGTCGCGGGGGGGGGAGGGGGCGTCGAGTCGTCGTTGGTGTTATCGTGTTTGGCGGCGTTGTGGTGGGAGGCTTCGGGTCGTCCGTCTTTCCGGCCCGCGGCCTGGGAATCGTCGGCGCCTGCGCCGTCGGCGGCCGCCACCGCTGCCGCCAAAGCCGGGGCGCACCACGACGTGTCGGCGCCTGGCTGCCCCCCAGGACCGCTTCCCCTGGGCATGCCCTCCGCGGGCTCCTTCTCATGTGCGGCCACCTCCGAGCTCGGCGCCGCCTGGCGGGCTGTCGTCATTGGCCGGCCTTCGGCCCCCATGGCCGCTTCCCCGGGCATGCTCCCCAAGAGTTCGCCTCGGGGCACGCGGCCACTCGGGGCACGGCCGTCATGGAGGCCGTTGGGTGGGGGATCGCGGGGTTGTCGCGGGAGCCGTTGGGTCGAGTGGAGGGTCGCGACGGCCGTCGTCGGGGCCGTCTGGGGGGTAGGCGAAGGCGCTGGGGCCGTGGCGTCGCGTGGCGGCAGCCTCCGCGGCCGCCTCGGCGAGGCGGTCCCCGGTGCATGGGGTAGGCCACGGCTGGCGGCGGGTGGATGGGCCCCATCGGCTGGGCCCCCGTCATTCGTGGCCGTTGCCCAGCAGCGTGGTGGCAAGCCCAGTGGGGCGCGGCAAGCTGGGATGAACTCCAGAGTGTCCTTGCTGAGGCTACAGCTGTCGAGCTGCGTGGCTGCGTCTGTCTAGTCAGTGTAGTCGGTGGCGTTAGTGCTGGCGTTGGCGTGGAAGGTGGTGCTGGTGTCGACGCAGGCGGTGGCGGCGTTGGAGCAGCTGCACCACTGCCACTTACTCCAGCATCTGGAAGATTGCCGCGCAGGCAACTCATCTTTCCAGCTACGCCGTTGGCACCAATGTCGGTGGTGCCCTTAGCGGGCCCTGGAAACGGCAGGGCCGTTTTTTCACCGTTTCCAAAACAGTGCCCCTTGAAAATGGACACGGCAAAAAAACGGCGACCGGAAACGGCAAAAAAACGGCTCCAGGACTGGAACTGGAGCCGGAACCGGTCAAAAAACGGCGACGGAACGGGTAAAAAAACGGCGTCGGAACCGGTAACAAAAACGGCAAAACGGAACCGGTAACAAAACGGCCCTGTCGTCTCCAGGGCCCACTAAAGTGGTGCCCATGTTCCTCCTGCGGGCTGCCCTTGCCGCTGGTGCGCGCAGGGCGCGAGGAGGATGGCAGGGTCCAGGGCGGTGGCGGCCTGGCTCCTCCGGGTGGCGTATGGGCGAGGCGACGCCTCGTCGCCCTCTCTTTTCGACCGTGCTCCCGAGGCAGCTTTCCACGCGTCGGCTGCACCGTGGCACCTGTGGTCGACGCAGCTCCGAGTAGCCGCAATTGGGAGTCGCTCGTCCCGGGAGTCGCTCTCCCGGATGAGTCGCTGCACGTGCTGTCGACCTCGAGGTCGACACTTGGCGGAGTCGCTTGTCCCGGGTAGCTCCCGCGGTTCTTGCCGGCGCAGGCGGTGGCGTCGCAGGGACAGCGCGAGAGCAGGCGTGTCGCAGGCGCCGCGGCCACAGTCGCGCCGCGCCGCCGCCGCGCTCGTCGCCGCAGCGGCACGGGCCCAGCGGGCCAGCTCCCCAGGCGCGGGGGGGGGGTCCCCGCATGCGGCGACCACTCCTCCGTCTCCTGCCCCCCTCGCTCCAAGACCCATCACATTGCCCTACTCTTTCTTTGCAGCCTGTCCTTCCTCGTCACTCATCCGTCTCATCCGCAATCCCCCTCCCCAACCCACCTCCCCTTTCTCGCCCTACTCCTCCGTTGCCTCCTCCCCTTCCACGTCACACCTCCGTATCCATCTCATCCTCTCTCCTCCTCCCCAACCCCCACTTCCTGGCCATCCTCCGCCCTCTTCTCCTCCCATCGAGTCTCCCCCATCCCCCTCTTCCGTCTCCGCCTCCTTCTCCGCCTTCTCATCCCCCTTCTCCTCCTCCACCTCCTCTTGCGGATGCGACGTATCAGGGCATCATTCATACCGCCGGTGCACACATAAGAACCTCAGGAGCATCCCACCTGGAGAGGGGAAGGATGCCCGAGCACAAAATCCCACCAGCCCTTTGGGTGACAGATGGTCTAACGAGATTCCTCTTCCCTCTTCCACAAAAAAAACCCTCTCTTCCCCTACGGGGAAGGGCTTATCACTGTTCCATATCAATAAACACCCCCTCCCCCACCCAGCCGGCGGCCAAACCGGAACAATGCCCCCCCCCACCCACCATTCCTGGCAAAAAACACCACAAACACACACTCTACCTCCACATTCAGAGCATGCGCGGCCGCCCCGCGACCCCTTTGCATTGATATTTTAGAAGAACGGCCGCGGTGCCGGCAGATCCCACCTGCCTTCTGGCCGCGGGTGGTCGTCCAGGATGGTCCCAAGAGGCTCGCCTGGGCATCCGGGAGGCCCTCATCCCCTCGCCCCCACGCGGCCCACAGGGATGGCCCGAAGAGGCCTTCCACGGCCACCCCCATTGCTCCCAGAGATCTCTCGGTTCATCCTGGTTGCTCGCTTTGTTTCCCTAGATGTGTCCCTTCGTCCCTTTTCCCGTCAGCTCTCGTGGGAAGGTCTTCTCAAAGGGCTGGTGGGGATACTTTTTTGATCGCGAGCGCACCGGGGGACGCCAGACGCCGTCAAATGTCGCAGCAGGCAAGCTACGAGCGAATTGCGTCTGGGGGGGGGGAGGGAGGCGACGAGAGGACAGCGGGAGGAGGAACAAAAGCTGGTGGGGATACTTTTTAGTCAGCTGCCGCGGGCGGAAGCGCTGGCGGCGTGTCAAGTCGAAGCGGGTACGCGCCACAGACTAATTAGCAATTAGCAGCAGAACTGGGGCACAGTACTGCCAGAGTGCGCATGCAGGAGGCCGGGGCGGAAAAGGCAAGACAAACACGGGAAAACACCAACAGAGCGACGACTGGTGGGGATACGCGAAACGATCTCGAGAGACCCCCGAGTCCGGCAGGGAGCCAAGTGGGCGGCCCGTGCTTCCGGCTCCGCCAGCCACCGGCAGGGACGGAGGAGGGTGGCGCGCGGATGGCGAGGCGAGATGGGGCAGAGCGACGTCGGCCGCACGGGTGTCATGTGCACCCTGACCGAAGGGGCCCTGGGACACACAAATTATCCCAGTGCGACCCTACCTAGGAGTTGGAGGATCTAGGAGAGCAACATCTATGTCTAAACCGGAAGCTACATCAACATCTTTACCTGCATCTACATCCACATCAACATCAACAACGAAACTCACATCTACATTTACATCTACACCTACATATACACCTACGTCTACATCAACGTCTACACCTACACCTACATCTACATCTACATATAAGCTAAGATAAACCTGAGCTAAGATGATGCTAAGCTAAGCTAAGATGAAATAAGCTAAGCTAAGATGAGATAAGCAGCGCTAAGGGGGAACCGCGGAGCGGATGCCGGGGGAACCGCCCGGGGCGTTTTGCACTGCCCGGCCCTTTAAGCACACAGAGAAAGAACCCTTCTAGGCAGAGCCTAGATAGGGAACAAGCTAAGCTAAGATGAGATAAGCAACGCTAAGCTAAGGGAGCGTCACTGGGGGAACCGCGGAGCGGATGCTGGGGGAACCGCCCGGTGCGAGTTGCACTGCCCGGCCCTTTTAGCATACCGAGTAATAACCCTTCTAGGCAGAGCCTAGGTAGGGAATAAACAGGAACAAAAATAAGGTCGGGCGTGTCCCCCTACGGGGGATTCTCGACGAAAAATAAAACAATACCCCCAACATGCACCAAGTATTTTGAAAAATTGTCAAACAATCGTCCCCAGACTACTGTTTAACTATTTCTGAACACTCCTCCTGTAGAGGGACAGGCCCGACTTAAGAATGACAGGATTCCCAACATGTTCTCATATTTTCATGGTTTTCGTCTTCCCCCCCACTTCCCATATGTTCCCATACGCTCTGGGGAATCGACGATTCATTGTGCCTGTGTGTGTGATCTTCCCCTCCTGAATCATATGCACCCTGACTGGGCACAGGTGCAGAGTACGGTGGTCCGCGGATGTTGCAGAGCACCCTGGAGACGCTGCTTCCGCCGGTCGCCTTATGGCACAGCACCTGCATGTCGAGCACATGCCGGGGCTGCACACGGTACAGATGAAACAGCGCATCCGCATCACCTCGACAATCGAAAAACAACTTCGCAATCGTGTCGCTCTCCAGGAGCTCCTGCAGACCGCGCGCGAAAGCGGACTTGCCCAAAACGGTGATGTCAAAAAGGAAGACGTGTCCTTTCTGGTTCGCTATCTGCACGAGGCAGATCTCCCCGTGCCTCCCGAGCCGGATACCCTCGACATCCACCGCGAGCATGCTGTCGCGGCGCATGTCGCTGCACACCTGGCTGCACTTCCCGAGCGTATCCACAAATTCTATCGTCCCCCGCGCTCGCTCGTCCTTCGAGTAGGGGAACGACTGTAGAAGAGATGTACCCCAAACTTGGTTCTCCGTCGGACCTTCGAAAAATACACAGAATGCTCAGCTGATCTACTGTAACATTATACGTGCTGTTCGCAGCCTTGCTGTTCGCGGCGAGCCCAGGGGGGAAGTGAGGAGGGGCGGGCCTTCTCAAAGGCTGAAGTCCCCGAGCCTTCTGAGAAGTTTTCTACGCATTCCCCGAAGACGCAGAAAACCTCTCAGAAGGCACGAGGGCTTCTGAGAAACCCCGCCGCCCTCTGAGAAGGCCTTCTCCTTCTCACGCCCCCCCTGCCCGCCGCCGACACTTTTGGAGAAAATCGATTCTGCAGTCAATCCCCTGTTCGAGTCACGCGCAAAAAGGGGGTATGGGGGGGAGAAGGCTTGTTACAAGGAGGCTGCTGCTTCGAAGGCGCCAGCCTTTCATCTACAGACAAGGCCCGCGGCTTCCAAGAAGCAGGGGCGCTTCTACAAAGCCTCCCCCCCCGCTAACACCCCCCCCTCTGCGCGTGGCTGATGTCCTCCGAGCTGGAGGACCCGCTGGCGCTAGCTGCGATGGACGCGCCAGCAGCGGCAGGGGCGGCCGCCTTGCGGCTGCCGGCTGCCTCTGGAGCAGCCGCGGCGCGCGCTCGCTCGTCCTCCGAGCCGGAGGACCCGCCCGCGCTCGCCGCGACGGACGCGCCGGCAGCGGCAGGGGCTGCCCGGCGGACTCCGGCTGCCTCTGGAGGAGCTCCACACGCAGACGGAACACGCACGCTTGGCGCGATGCCTTCGCCCAAACGCGGGGCCAACACGTCCGTGCCGACACGCAGCGCGTCGGCACGGACGCTCGGAGCACAGGGCGTGTGGGGTCCCAGGCATGCGACGTTCTGTGTTTTTCAGGACGGCGTCCCTGGAAGTCCCGACCCTCTCCCCGGGACCGGTTTTCCCTCCCGAGTCGCTTTTGGACGGTCCCGGGGCCCGGCGAGGACCCCCTGGAGCTGAAACCGGCCAAAACCCCCCCGTCTGGATTTCTTCTCTCCTTTTTTTTGGCGCGACGCCATCATCTCTGGGGCGGGGTCCCACACCCTGACCTTCCAGAGTGCTAAAAAATAGCACTCCAGACCTATAGATCTATCTGGCCTGCCTCGAACCTCGACAGGAATTAGGACGTCGAGGTCCTGGTGCTATTTTGTAGCCCTCCTGGAAGGTCAAGGCAGCGGGCGTCTCAGATTTGGACGCCCGAAATGGGTACCGACAGAATTGATACAATGCCCAACAGCGAATGTTGTCCGAAACCAACAGCGGCCGCTGTTGGGCAGGCGGCCCTCTGTCTCAAACGGACACAGGCCGCGGCGGCGTGGACAGCGGGTCCTCTTCACAATGAACCAGATCCGCTGTTGGGCATTGTACCCATTCTTTCCGTGCCCATTTCCCCAGACCCCCGACGTCATGATTTTTTCATGAAGTCGACCCCCAGAGGTCTGGACCCACTCCCCAGGACCGGTTTTTCGTCCTGAGTCGTTTTTGGACGCTCCCGAGGGCCGGTAAGAGGGCCCCCAGAGTCCAAAAATAATGCAAAACCTCCCGTCGTGTTTTTTTCATGACTCGAGGGGGTCTGGGTCGGGCGCGCAGATCAGAGCAGGCGGAGGTCCTCCGCGCCGGAGCACCCGCCGGCGCTCGCCGCGAGGGACGCGCCGGCAGCGGCCGGGAGGGCCCCGCGGGCTCCGGCGGCGGCCTCCGGAGCGGCAGCGGCGCCGCCCCCGGGCGGCGGCGGGCCGCCCCGCTCGGCGTGCGCTCCGTCGCCGGCGTGCCTCTCACCGGAGGCGCTGCTGCTGATCAGTGGAGTTAGAGGAATCGACTACACCTCCTCCTCCTCCTCCTCCTCCTCCTCCTCCTCCTCCTCCTCCTCCTCAGTCGAGTTAGGAATGGACTATACAGGAGCGATTCGCCAACGAAGATAGGGGGGAAACAAACCGACCTCGCCTTGGACCACCCTCGCTTCCGAGAGGTACCACACGATGCCAAACTACGGGCCTGCGCTGGTCAGGCCTCTTGACGAGGAGGCGCGTGGTAGGACTTGGTTGTGCCTGGAAGCGAAAGCGGGGCAGGTAATTCACGCTCCGAACGAAAGCTGATTTGCTCGTCGAGCCTGCGAAAAATACGCAGAGTGCTCCGCAGATCTGTGGAGCCTTCTACGCACTTGTTCGCAGTCTCGGCGGAGCAATCAAGGCTAGGGTGAATCAGCTCTGCAGTCGATCCCCGATTCGGATCAGAGCAGTCCAGACCACGCGGAGAAAGAGACTCGCCCCACACAGCGCAACCAGACCCCCGACGGCGCTATGCCTGTTCACGACGCGGGCCCCGGAGAGCCCGACCCCATCCCCGTGACCAATGCTTCGCCCTGGGTCGCTCTCTGACCGTCCCACGGCTCACAGGCGCCCCCCGGAGGCTTAGATCACACGCCCGTCGTGCTGTGTGCTCGCGACGCCGGGAGATCCAGGCACAAGGCATCAACATCGGCCTCCCAGTCTGTCCCTGGCTGCAGTCTGGCCGAAGAACTTCAAAACAGAATCCAGCCGTGGCGACGCGTGCGCTCCAGGAGACCAAACAAGACAATCGAACTGGGCGGCGGGGGCGTCTGGACTGGATGGGGCCCCAGACTTCCGATCAAAGGCGGGGGACGGTGGCACATACGTCAGAAATGAGTCCCTAGACCCCTCCAGGGGGTCCATCTGGGGCAGTTTCTCAGCCCGGATCCGTTTTCGACGGCCCCTGGGCCATGAAAGCAGCGCCTCGAGCCTCACCGCCCCTTGCTGCTCGCCAGGACCAGGGCCAGGCCACCTCGGACCCCCAGCTGGCACCAAAAGCCAACAAACGTCCACCCTGGCCCCTCCTCCGGCGACGACGCATGGGGCAGAGAAGGAGTGTGGGCGAGGCAGGTGGGCAAAGGCTCGCTCACATCTTGCCTCACATTTCCTCTGGTGGCCTTTGCGCTTCTCTCCTCACTCTTCGCATGGAAAAAAGAAGATAGGGGAGAAAAGAGAGAGAGAGAGAGGGACAGAGAGATAAAGAGAGAGAGAGAGAGATGGGAAACACATAGAAAGGGGGAAGAAAGAGAAAGAGAGAGAGAGATACAAAGCATGTGAAACGGAGAAAGAGAGACCAGCAGAGACCAGCATGTGCGGTGATGAGACAATATTCACCAAGCAGTGCTTGCACTCAGGGGGTCATACTTCTTGGCTGATTAACTGGGCCTGGCTGCTGGTCTGGCGGCTATGCAGCCTCCATCGCCGCCCCGTCGCCGCCTCGTCGCCGCCCGTCGTCTGGGCCCAGCTGTTGGTCTGGCGGCTATGCAGCCTCCATCGCCGCCCCGTCGCCGCGTCGTCGCCGCCCGGCTGTTGGTCTGGCGGCTATGTAGCCTCCGTCGCCGCCCCGTCGCCGCCTCGTCGCCGCCCGTCGCCGGGGCCTGTCTGGCGGTCTGGCGGCTATGCCGTCGCCGTCGCCGCCCCGTCGCCGCCTCGTCGCCGCCCGTCATCTGGGCCTGCACGTCGGGTCCGCCGCCTTGTGATTGCCGTCGCCGCCCCGTCGCCGTCGCCGCCACGTCGCCGCGTCGTCGCCGCGCGCAGCCTCGTCGCCGCACTGCTTTACATTGCTTGGCGTTGCTCTGCATATTGCTTTGCGCAGTTTTGCGTTACTTTGCATTGCATTGCATTGCGCTACACTGCACTGAGCTGCTTGTCATTGATCTGCGTTGCGTGATATGTATATATGTACGTGTATGGATTCCTTGAAACAGTGCTTGCACCTAGGGGGTCTTATTCATCTTCTTAAAGAACTGGGCCTGGTCGTCGGTCCGGCCGGCTTGTGGCCGTCCCTCGCCGCCAGTGGCCGCCGTCCTTGATCAAGAGCTTCAATGTGCGAGGGTCGCCCTCTGCATCGGTTTGCACTCGCTTACATAGCTTCATGTTCGCTTGCATCGTATAACATTGCTTTGCATTGCGTTGCATTGCTTCGCATTGGTTTGCATTGCCTTGCATTGGTTTGCGCTGCCTGCTCTGCATGGATCTACACTGCATCACATTGCTTTGCGTTACGTCGCTTTGTATTGACTTGCACCGCTTTGCATCGCATTGCTTTGCTTTGCATCGCAATGTATTACACGCCAGTGGTTCACATTGCTTCGCATTGCTGCGCATTGGTTTACATTGTGTTGCTTTGAGTTGCGTTGCGTTGTCCTGCATCACCTTATTTTGCATTGCTTTGCCTTGCATCACCTTGACTGCACCAAATGGGTTGCACCACCATGATTGCAATTCATTGGCTGCACAAGCTAGAGTGCACCACATATATCTTAGAATTAACTGTTTGGGATCCACAGAGTCCCACATCATGTGAATAGCGGGCCCTTGAGTCCTGGGTGGCGGTGACGCATGCTGACCCTGCCACTGGAGCCTTCGGTGGAGCTCGCTATGGGGCCACGAAGCGCTGTCCTGGATGGCGGTGACGCATGCGGACCCTGCCACTGGAGCCTTCGGCGGAGCTCCCTGTGGGGCCACGAAACGCTGTCTTGGGTGGCAGTGACGCATGCGGACCCTGCCATTGAAGCCTTCCGTGGAGCTCCCTGTGGGGCCACGAAACGCTGTCCTGGGTGGCGGTGACGCATGCGGACCCTGCCACTGGAGCCTTCGGCGGAGCTCCCTGTGGGGCCACGAAACGCTGTCCT